ATAAGTGGCAATCAACAACTCATACTGCCTAGGCAAACAGCTAATGCGTGTTGTGAAAATAAATAATATAATTTAAACGATCCCGACTGAGTGTTTGTTAATTAGAATTGGATTTCTCTAGGTCTTAATGTTGTTGGAACACTAACTCCTACGAGCTTCTCTAGGGTTGTCTTTTGATTAGAGAAGTAGTTAATGATCGTATTTTGATTACCGATAAAGTATGGAGAAACTGATTGTTAGGCCGTGCCAACAACTATAACCAATTTATTTATGAATTATATGAATTTATCTTTGCATCAAGGCTCAATTGACTGAATCAAGGTTAAAATAATTCCTTTGACTAGAATCTTTCTCCCTTAATTGTTATCTGAAGTTTAATTGTTTTATTTCGTTAACTTTTACTTATTTGAAAATCAAAACCACAACATTTCCGTTACTTTACTTTTAATTAGATATAAATTCACTTACTTGTTCCTTAAGAATATTACCCTACTCACTGTTATACTAGAAAATCTGTTAGAAGTAGGCTGTATTTATATTTGTTGGTTTGACACCCACAAATGTCCTCCAAACATTTTTAGCTAATTAAATATATCAATGTTTTTTCCTACAAAGAAATTTTTTGTAGACACCCCCGCAATAGTAAAAAAACTCCCGTTGAATGGAAAAGGAAAAAGAATTTCTAGGATGATCGGGATAATAATAATTATCATCATCATTTGTGCATTTTTAGGATTTTGTATATGGAATTATTTTAGACAATAATACCTTAATAGATTAATTTAATTAGACTTAGAAAGCAGATTAAAGATTTATAAAAAATCGATTCACTCACTAGACAAATAGTTTTATGTATGTAATATAATTATATGTGATAAACTATTAATTAATATTGGATAAAAAAAAGAAATTCTATGATCTTGCGAAAATTTAATTATTTGAAATATATTTTAGAAATATTATCTTTCACATATCTAATTATGAACCACGAATATAATGATTTTATTAGACAAAATGAGGCTTAAATGACTTAAAGAAGGTGATTCTAATAGTGGTAACGTTCATGTAACACTGCCTCAGAAATTTGTTGATCAAAACATTCAAAGATTTAAGCTCAAAATGGAGAATGGATTACTCAGCCAATAGAATTCGGAAGAGACAATAGTTTCACAAACAAATTAATGAAATATCTAAAGAGCAATCAACATTTTTGGTTGAAAGGAATCACACAGATAAAACTTTGCTAAATCAAGAGATCTTATCTAATTTTTGGAAAATAAAATACCAGGATGAAAAATGATTGTGAAAGTTCATATGATGAAAGCATTTGATAAGGTGTCTAGAACTTTTCTTACTTTTTTCTTAGACGAATGCATGTTTTGGTCCCTTATGTATTAGGGATAGCTCAATCAAGTCACCAAAAATATTTTGCTACCGTATTTAGTCCTCTAATATTTTTTTTTTGCCAATTTTAGTCTTTTTAGAAAATTTTTTTGTAGGAATTGACGGAAATTTTAACTCTCAGAATTTTTTATTAATTGCCAGCATGGGCCCACATTTGTTGACCCTGAAAAAAAAAAAATCAGCCGACCTTCAAAACCATCAATGCATCAATTACAGCCAGGTGGGGTAGGCGCGCTTTGACGCACGCTTACCCTGTAGCAAAATGAACCTGCTTCAGCTCCTCATGAGCAGCAACATATTCAGATCCCATAACGCATGAGGCAATATTGTCATGACCTCTACTAGGCCTGTTCATTGGGTCGGGTTGTACCCGATCCGACCGACCCGAATTTGTTTTATTACATTCGGTCAAAAAAAAAAAACGGTTGTTTTGGTTACATTATGATTAGACTCAAACGAATGAACACACCCGAATGAACAATTTTTTAGTTTCTCTTCCACCCATTTTCACCCGTTATCTCCTCCCTCAAATCCATCATCGGCGGCAAGCCGGCAACCTTCCTCAAGGCTCAAACCAATCGTCGGCGACCTTCTACCACCCGTAATCTTTCTCCTCCCTCAACATAGATCGGCCATGCATCACTCCCTTTTTCAGATCTAGCCGATTCACTCTTCGATTCACTCTCCAAATCCAAATCCAAATCCAGTCAGGCAGTCAACGGTGACCTTCCTCAAATCCAATCGTCGTTGCCCTTCTGAGTCTAACACCCGTAATCTTCCTGCCTCAACACATATCGGTCACACATCATTCCTTTTTTCAGATCTATTGCTTATCATTCCTCAAAATCCAATCCCTTAGCTGATTATTACTTCCATCCGTGCATGTTTAAAGGTTTTCTGAATGTGGGTTTTTCTGGGTTTTCAGGATTTTCTCGAAACCCATTAGCCCCATTTCCTGTAGAAAGCATCGGTTCTCTTATACCTCGCATCCCTCTATTCCGTTACCAGGTATATATTTGTTCCTCCTTTCTCTTTTAAGATTTTCGTCTGAACGTTTTTTTGATTGTTGTTTGTGGGTTGTTTGTGGGTTTATCGGGGAGTGGGGGGATATTATCATCACTTTGAAAGATGGCACTAAGGTGGATTTGAGAAGTGTTCCCAAATTCAGGGAAATTGCAAAGTATTGTCTCTCCTTGGCTGACCAGCCTCTGGTTTTGAAGGAAAGTGGACCTAAAGGATTTTAATTTTTGGGCTTTTGGGAAGAGGTATCTAAAGAGTGTTCTACCTTGTTTATGTGTAATTTTTGCATCCGATCCCGCTTTGGCTTTTAAGGTACTACTTGGGTAGGTTTCTTGTCAGTGCCTCAATTCACATGGACTTATCCATAATATAAGTTTTTTTGAAAAGCTGGGCACAGTTTTGTTTGCGTAAATTTTGGAATTCCTTTCTCCAATGGATTTTGCGTTTTTATCTAATGTATACAATTTAATTGTGTGGGTTCTGTGAAAAGGGCGGAGGTCCGTACGGTTCCGAAGTGACTCGGGGACAAGATCTTACCGGGGAAAGATTTTAGTGGCAAGAGTTTGATCAAACAAGATTTTAAAACGGTATCACCTTCAACTCTATAAATGTACTTATTATGAATTTGATGTACTACTAAGTTTCTGTTGCCAAAGGAACTTTGTTTTAATGTGTGCCCCTTTATGTTTGCAACAACGAATGTATTGTTACCACCACATCCTCAGGCTTTAAATGTGAGTGGGCTTCTGTGTGTTGCAGGCGATACTGAGACAAGCCAAGTTCAAAGGTGCAACCTTAGTCGGAGCTAGCTTCTTTGATGCTGATTTAACAGGTAAAATTTCAATGATTTGTTAATACAGAATTCTAGAACTATGATAAGACTAGGCAGATGGCCTGGACCCTGGTTATTCAAAATTTGTTGCTGTTAATGATCTTTGTGCTTTTTGTTTGAATATTTAGTGATAGTTTTCCTCGTTGTGTTGGTTGGTAGGATACAACTTCCTTAACTGAGATGAGTTGTTCATGATTTGACTAAACAATGATTAACTAATCTTAACCAAGCTGCTCCTCTAACATCTTGAAGTACTGTTTTCTTAATTAGAATTCTCTTATATTGAGTTTAGAGTCTGTCTCAAATCGGTTACATTAAATGGTCAGTTTTCTAATAGTCTCCATGCCATGCTTATAAGCTCTGCTCATGCTCCCTACACACTCTGGGCGGATGGAATTAAAAGAATAGAAGTGAAACTGGACCGACTTGAAAGCTTTAAATGGAACAGAGCTGGGGTTATTTATTCATTGGGACTTTTGACCGTTTATCAATGGCTTATTCTTTTTTTTTTCTGTTCTAAATGATATTTGAGCAGAAAAGTATAAATTGTATGATCTGTCACAAATTGAGAGTTTTGGTGGTGTCTAGTCATGGCTGTAACAGAGCAGGCCATTCTAGTTTTGGTTTTATTCATCCATTTCCTTACATCTTTATTGAAAGATGTTAAAGAAGATGACCCATTTTTAGGTTATTGGAATGTTGAACATCCTGATACATCTCTTTAAGGCTTTGCACTTTGCAGGCTAGGAACCTGATACCCTTTTTCTATGACAAATATTATGCAGTTTAAATGAATGAAACAGTGAATCCAATGCCATAAAGTACATTGTATTCTACTTTTTTCAAAAGCATTCCTCAGAAATGATTCTTATAATTGGTGAACAAATTGACTTGGGGGGTTTATTTTAGATATCCTTCTTGCAGATCATATCTCTTCCAAGCCCCTCAAATAAATTCTATAATTACTTAGGCTGCCAGGCATGGAAGCTACTAGTAATATTTAAACAACAATATCCTTTTGCATACTTTAAATTGTTTTCATTTGATGCGGAGCTCCTCCACAAATGTTTGCTTTCTTAATCTATCTATTTACTGACACTCTAGGTATATGGACATCATGATTTACTGAACTCTGATAGGTACTAAATGGAACACATTGATGTTTCTTCTCTGCTCCTGGATGATAATCTTAGTTATATTATCTGTATAGTATCTTTGTGTTGTAGTGTCATGGTTTTTTTCTTAAGAAGAGGTGGATTTAAGATTATTTAGATGTAGCTGTTGGTACTTGAATGTGGATGTTAAATATCCTTTTCTTACATTTGTACTGCTCCTATATCCTATTTCAAAATAACATCATTATGTATACTTCTTATGAATCCAAAATTCTGTTATTGAATTTCATGTCTCTTTGCAACATCAAATGCTTGATTCAATGCAATTTTGAATTTTTCTAGGTCCATATGCAGTAGGCACCAAGATTCAAATTAGTATAATCCAGGGCAGGAGCCACCAAAAGCCCCATCAGTATAATCAGTATAATCAGTATAATCCAGGCCTTCTGTAATTGCTTTTTTTGCAGTCACAGCAAAAATTCTTCGTAGAGGTATGTAATTCAGTACTTTCTTTTAATATTTGCATCGTGAGACTCATGTTGTTTGATACTTCTCTGTGAAAATCATGTTGTTTGATACTTCTCTGTGAAAATTTGGTGGTCATACATTTGTCTTTTTATATTATTCAGATGTCTCAAACAAATCAACCTGAAATTGAAGGTCCCTTTGGTAGTCCTAGAGTTAATCAATCTACAATCTCTGAGGTCAAGAAGCAACGAAAACCTAGGCAGGTGAAAAAGAGGTCTCTTGTTTGGAAACATTATAGGAGTTATGTTAATAAAGCTGGTGTTAGAAAAAGTGTGTGCATATATTGTAAGAGCAAATACTATTCAGATAGTAAAACTCATGGGACGAGTAATCTTTGGAGTCATTTGAAAGTGTGTCCGTCAAAACCTGATCTTAAGGCCATTAAGGGAAAGGGGAAAGGTGCTGGTAATGTTAGTGTCAAAGAGGTCCGTGATGCAATATCTTTTATGCTTGTTGTGGATGAATTGCCACTTAGTTTTTTTGCTGGCCAGGGGTTCAAGCATTTAATGGATGTGTGTGTGCCTTCTTTTCACATTCCAAGTAGAAGTACTGTAACTAGAGATGTTTTCAAACTGTACAAGGCAGAAAGTGTTAAAGTCCAATTTCAAATTAAACAAAACAGAGGTGGAATTTGCTTGACAACCGATACCTGGACATCTGTTCAGCGAATCAATTACATGTGTTTGACGGCTCACTTTATTGATTCTGATTAGAAATTACAGAAAAAAGTGTTGAATTTTCGTCCCATTTCAAGTCATAGGGGTAAACAAATAGGAAAGTCTGTTGAAATGTGTTTGTCGGATTGGGGAGTTGAGAATGTGTTCACTATTACCGTTGATAATGCAACCTCTAATGATACTGCCATTAAATATTTAAAAGGCAAGTTTTCTAATTGGAGAAATTTTGTTTTGGGTGGAGATCTAATTCATATGAGGTGTGTTGCCCACATTATTAACTTGATAGTGAAAGATGGTTTGAATTGTTATAATGTATCTGTGGAACGTGTTAGGGAAGCTGTAAGATATATTAGGCATTCTGCTCAAAGGACAAGTGCCTTTATAAAGTTAGCTGAAATTGAAAAGTGCCTTAGTACTAAAAGTCTTGTGTTGGATGTTCCAACGAGATGGAACTCCACTTATTTAATGTTGGATGTTGCTTAGAATTATGAAAGAGCTTTTAGTAGACTTGAATCAGAGGATAGTCATTTTAAAAAGGAGCTTTTGAATGGTGTGCCTACTATATTGGATTGGGAAATTGTGAGACATTTAGTAGGTTTCCTCAAACATTTCTATCATCTTACTTTGAAAGTGTCCGGGACTAATTATGTGACTTCAAATGCTTTTTTGGATGACATTGCTTGTATTGATGTGGTGCTAAATGCATGGAAAGATGAGAATAATGACCCAGGGCTGGTAGATATGGCAGAATTCATGAAAGCTAAATTTGACAAGTATTGGGGGAGTTTAGGAGATTGTAACAAACTGATTTTTATAGCGTCTGTTCTTGATCCTCGGCATAAATATGTGTATGTGAAGATTTTACTTTGTCATATGTATGGGGAGGACGTTGGTAAGGAATTGGCTAAATCAACAAAGAAAACGTTGAGAGCTCTTTTTCAGGATTACATACGAATTCATGCTGCTCCTACTTCCCCCTCTACCCCTTCTCCCTTGGCTGGTTCTTCATCTATTGGTAATTCAAGCGACATGGAGCCTTTTGCTATTTTGCAAGAAAAGGTTAGGAGGGAGATGAAAAAGAGAAAAACAGAGAAAGTATTGAAAGACTATAAATCTGAGTTGGATAAATATTTAAAGGAAAAGATTGAAGCCAATGTGGCTGGATTTGATGTGTTGAATTTGTGGAAAGTTAATGGTTTTAGATTCCCAATCTTGTCTCTGGTTGCTCGTGATGTATTGGCAATTCCAATCTCAACGGTGGCCTCAGAATCTGTGTTTAGCACAAGTGGTCGGGTTATCGATCCTTTTAGGAGTTCCTTAACTCCTGAATTGGTTGAAGCCTTGATTTGCACGCAAGATTGGCTTCGTGGGGATCAATTACCTGTAAATGTTGAAGGAACCCTTGAAGTACTTGAAGAAAGTGAAGAAGGTTGTATTTTTGTGTTTTAACTGCTTTGTCTTGAATAATTTAACCTTTATTACCATTGTATGGAATGTTGTTGACTTTACTTGTCTTTATTTTGTTTCTATAATGCAGAATTCACTGATATAGAAGCAGAAGATATGGAGGAAGAAGATATAGACATATCAGGTGCAGAGATTTCAGAATGATTGTTTGATGACTTAGGTAGTTTTCTGAAGCTGAATTTGGGGATATAACCCACATTTTGGATTCTGATGTTTTTCTTGTTTATCTGGATGATTTTTGGATTAAGTTCTGGGATTCTCTTGGGTTTTGTCTTTTGACTTCGTATCAACTTCGTTTTCACTCTGTATTCTTGGTTTTTTTTTATCACTGCATTGGGAGTTCTTGATGGGTTCAAGGAAGACCAGAAGTTCTGCCATTAAGGAAGTATATGAGTTCTTGAACCAGTTACTGGTGGATAAACTGCTGCTGCCTTTTGTTCTTCCAGTTTTGTTGGTCTTTTGGACAATTGAGAAGTGGTTTTTCTCCTTGTCCAATTGGGTCCCTCTTGGTGTTGCAGTATGGGCAACTATTCAGGTAACAGTGGAATTATTTGTTTCCATGTCTGAATCTTTGAATATTGTTGTTTTCCTTATCATAATTTGAACTGTGCTATCTTCTTTCCAATTTGATCCTTGAGATACTCTTTTTTTTTTTTTTGCTAATTGATTGGGGTTTGACTTGCAACTTCTGGAATCTTTTATGTGATTGAATGCACTAGATCTTTCGGATGATATTTGTTTCCTCATCAACTACGTCTTCTCTCTGTAGATAAATCTCAAAGTTTCTGTGTGGTCGATATCCATTTTGTGGCATGATATTTCTTTTCGACTTGTAGTTCATGTCAATGGCTAATAGGGACTAGAAATATGAAACAAGTCAAACTGCTTTCAACTGTCAACCTACTGTCAACCCACATTTTGGATTCATGTTCATAAGAAGGATTTGTCACTATTTCAGTTTTGCTTTCAAGCTCTCTTAAAGAAGAACTCAGTCTCCTTTCATAGGACAAGAGTTCTTGTTTTTTTCTCCTTGAAATGATATTTGTTGTTTTATGTTGCTTCTGCTACGTTAGATTCAAATCAATGTTGGTATTAAGACATGGCTCTAAAATCTTGAATATGAACATGAGTGTACTTGTCAACTGCTTATTGCTGATGAAAGAAAAAGTACATTGAAATAAGCCAACTTCACTATTAGTTAAAATTGCAAGTTAATTCTCTCCAGCTAAGGTATTTTTTTGGTTTAGGTGAATAATGCAGGAATTACCGGAGCTGATGTAGATGGTGACGCTTTAAGAGCTGCATCGAAAGCGGCTGGAGGGGTAAGTCCTGTACCTTCAACTCTACATTAGAGTTATGCTTGCAGCAATATTAGCCATGACACAGAAATTGTATCGGGAAATGTACTTGAGTAGTAGGATACATTGATGCACTTTGTCTTTTCTTAACTTTAACCTTGCTTGCTTTCAGGAACAGTTCATTCTTGGCAAAACTTGGTGCTTGAGGGAAGTAGTTGGTCGAAGTAGGCTACAACAAAGGCCACAATGCTTTTAGGAACAGTGCCATTCTTGGCAAATTTGGGTTTCTACTGTAATATTTCAGGAACAGTGCCTTTTTTTTTTTGCTATAACTTACATCGGGTTGACCCGATTACCCGACCGGAAACCCGAATAACCGAACAAGTTATTCGGGTTTGTTTGTTAGATAACAGTATGCTTTGCTTCGGGTCGACCCGTTTTCCACCCGAGGACCCGAATAACCGAATCTCTTGACCCGAAACCCAAAATTTTGACCCGAATGGACAGGCCTAACCTCTACACTCAAAGAAAGATCTAGGTTCGTCACAATGGCCCCAAAATGTTTAGGGCTTCTTTCCAGTGTGTTTATAGTACTATCCCATTCCATAGATGGAGTCATCATTGCATGCTCTGTTGTTTCCCTAGAAAGCGAAACAATCTCTTTTGACTCTGATATGCATTCCCTTAATCTTTATCTTAAGTTTTCTTCCACATTCCTCTTTGTTTTGAATGTCATAGTATCTGTGGAAACGTTGAACCCTTTGGAGTTTCTTGCTGAGGAACAAATATCCTTCTCGGCTTTATTGGTTTGGCAACATCACGCCTATGAATAAAACTATGTACACAATACAAAGTTCAGCTCCAGCCCTAAAATAAGCCATAAATAGTAGAATAAGAAAGTTAAAAATAATTCTATTGATTACATAGCTGACAAAATGTAATTGAAGCAATATGATATGAAACAAGCAACACGTGAAAGGAGAAAATAATCATATGACTTTGTGAGTATAAATCCAGAACATATATTAGAAATGAGAATAAATAAGTAGGTTTTTAGACTCTCATGTACAAGTCACATAATACGAGAATTAAAAGCTAAAACATGAAGATACAGAGGCCAAAATATAAGAATGATACAAAGATACGAAAATGACCAATAAAACTTAAATAGTACAAAGTGGTAAATAGTTTCCGTGCGAGAACAAGTTTAAGAAATGAGCAAAAGGTGATCAGGCAAAGCCCCAAGAGAATTCATAAACTCAGAGCTCAACAGATGTAGACACAAATGCATGTAGACAGATGCCACACAACCAGTAACGCAGACGAAGATTAGGCAGTTATAAAAAGGACAGTTTATGAATCATACTAAAATTCTTATTTTGTCAAAACATTGATAGAGGGACAATGGATGTAGTTGAATTGAAAAGAGTCGTTTTAAACTTCAATTATGGAGCATATGGTTTAAATCAAAACATCATTGCAACCCTTTTAAGATTAGAAATCTTAGTGCATACTAATTTCATTGCCAATATTTTTCTTTCTTTCGAGTGAAGTTAAAAGATGAATCCCACTAATTTGTCAAATAACAAAAATGCCACTTCGGATTCTTATCAACAACTGCATCCTTAACTGGAAAAATATGTTGTACTTAAGTTCGCATCTTGCTGCTCTTTTCTCATATAACGGCCACACTCAATGGTTTAACCCGTAAAATAGGTAGTACAAAACTATCATATCAGCACATGAGTGAGGAATAGCCGAAACCAAGGAAAGGTGATTATTGTCAAAGCATCCGACGTATGTGAGCTTTTGCAAATGTCACTTATGTTGTGCGATTATTATCCTAAGTAGATGCCGCCAAAAAGGATGGTACAAGGAGATATCTACAAGCAATTTTTCAAATTTTCACCTAAAGACTAAACATTCCCATAGAGGCCATTACAAAAATCTGGCTGAACAGAGGCAAAAGAAATTACAAGGAAAAAAAAAAAGAGAAAACAGTAAATCCAACGCAAACCAGACCCAAATCCAAGTTGAAAAAAGAACTGAATTTGTGAAGAACAGTTTACTTCTCAAGGACATAGTAATCTAAAATAGCTCGTAAAAACTGCAGATTTAGAGACTAAACCATTTTTCCGAGCCCCAAAAAAGCAAAACCACAGGAGTGAGAACAAACCATCCTTAAAACAGAAACCATCGTTAAGAAATTCAGAGCAAACAAAACAAGGAATACTTATAGATGTAGAAAACCGAATCAACGTTCCTCCATACTGTAGTCAATTTAACCAAGAGAAAGAAATAATATTAAAAAAGAGGACATGTAACCAATTTAGTGGCAGCAACTCTTTCGATGAGGGAAAGATCCATCATTAAAGGTTTAGAAGCATCATTTCTAGCGCAATAATCTGACTCTGAGGGAGATAAAAAAATTAATTCTGTTGAAAAAGAACTCAACCAAATCATAAATCTTACACCCTGCTGGCTAATTTGGAGCGACAAACCAATTAGCACGGCTAAACCCCAAAATTAAAAGAACTGATGCCTTATGTCTCCCAAATAATTTTCAAGCACTAAATTTATTCTCCCCCCTTAATACAAATCTCATAGATACAGAACTAAAGCAAAATTCCTGCTAATTTTTATGTTTTCAAATAATTTAGTTTTGCTCAAATGTCCTCTAAGAAAAACATTAAAAAACAAAAAGGAAAATCCAACAGCAATCTTAATGTTGAAATTGTTCAGGAATGACGAAAACTTACCATGAAACCACCAATGAAACTTGTTAGAGAAGAGGGAGCATGACTGCCAGTTCCATCGCTAAAAGACAAGGTGACAATTCCACGCACCAATTGGCATGGTGATCAACCAGTATGCTTATTTTCGCAGCCAGTGAGGAAAAATTTAAATTCCTTAAATACCTCCAAAAAGGCATAAAAATCAGAACAATTGCATATATGAGTTCGGTCGTTCCTTTGCAGATGATTCAGGTGGATGGTAGATAAAACCGTTCGCACTTTAGATCTTCTTCGCAGATTTCGGCGAATTTACAAATCCGATTAAACCTTATTCTCAAGTAACTTCGAGTTCCAGCTCTTCTAATGTCAAATTCTAATGTCAAATTCTTCGATCAAATTGGCAGTAGTAAAGAGAACATAAACCTAAACTTCTGAACAATAGTTTTGCGAAACCGATTTCATAGAGATTGCCGGCATCGAGCCATATGCGGGATCAACGAACCCTAGGTTCTGGCAGTCACAAATTTGGCCTAAAACCATAACTTCTCAAATATAGTTTTGCAAAATCGGAAGTTAGCATCAGCCTTCGATGGAAAACAGACAATTGAGGACTTTTTTAGAAGCGAATTGTAGTAAACTTATTGTGTAATGTGTCTTGAACTATTCCGAGCGGCATCAGCCTCGTTGTCGAATATCGTCGCTGTCAGATTTGACGAACATCATCTTTACTATAACTTCGCTGCTATCCTTCCGATTTTCCTTCTGATCACCTGTTGTTAGCCCCATCTAATTTATCGTAGAATTTGTTTTTCGACACGGAAAAGGAGAACAGAGCAAACGGCGCGGAATCAGAAAGAATGGTTGATGTCGCTTCACTTCATATTTGACGACTTTTTTTATTGACTCGAAGAATAACAATTTAAAAAACTAAAAGAAAAAATGAAATAAAAAAAGCCCTAAAACGATGTTGTTTTGAGGAGGGGAGTTTTGCAAGAAAAAATATTACCCCTAATTAAAAAAGTGATGTAATAACAGGTAAAAATAAGGTCATGGGACGATCGCCCCACCAATCAAATTGTAAGAAATTAATTGGTCAAACGACTTTTACCTTTTCTTTTTTTGACAGAAAAACTAACTTCATTCATATTACTAAAAATGGTGCAGCACCAATTGATACAACAAGACCGCCTATAATGCCGTACTCACAAACCGCCAAAGAAAGGCGTACTCACTGAACCGTCCATATGACGTACTTAAAGTACATCCATATGACGTTCTTACAATACTAGTCACTGCATTAGACTGTTACAACTGCCAAGGAGAAAAGTCTCACAATGGCACAATTTTACTGTTGGACATACCACGGAATAGAATAAAATTCTAAACTCGAATATGTCACTAACCAATGGATTCAAGATCAATTTAGTCGTCATTGAAGATGAACAGCATACACCAAACTCGGACTCGACCAACGGACCTGGTTCCGTTGACACACTAAATTCGTTCAGTAAAGAATCGATCCGGGATCATACTGAGTGTGGGCTATCCCACTTACTTGAATTAAAACACAGAAATAAAAACAACAAACATTAAAAAAGAGCAAAACAATTAACTGGTGCCGATCTTGAGCTCTTGAAGGTGGCGGTCGGATCTTGAGTCTAGGGTTCTCTCGGATTTCGGAAAGTAGTGCTGATCCGACATGGACTCAGTTAGATCTGGGATGCAGCGGTGATGCTTGGAACTTTCGGCGTGGATCGGCTGGATCTGAGGAGAAGCAGCAACAACAAAGCTTCGACAGGGCAGACACCGGACCTGATCTTAGAAGCAGCGGCAGCGGGCGACGGCCAACATATTGAAAATAAGAAAACATAAATTAAAATAAGAAATGGTTCCCCCAACCCCGTTAATGGTGGCTGGGGGAGGAGGGGGGAGTTTCCGGTGGTGGGTTATTATACACAAACGACTTTTATTTTAGTTTATTATACACAAATTTTCATTGGTGTATACGACAATGAAAACTTTAAATTTTGCGATGGTATAATTATACATCGCATATTTATGAATATCCAAACCGAGGCAAAACTCCACAATTGTTTTTTGATTACTGGTTGCCTGAGTATTGCGATCACAACCCAAAAAGAAGGAAGGTACCGTACCGTGCTTTAAGTATACTGAAATAACTAGATTGATGGATAGAAAAACTTGACATTTGTTCCCAAAGAAAAACAAAAAGAAAAAACAAAAACAGAAGAACAACTTAACGTCGCATGCCGTGCATAAATAAGTTCTGTCCACTGTTTTTTTTTAATGTTTGAAACACGTGTTTTTTTCATTTGAAAAGAAAAGTAAATTAACACATTGAGAATTTTTCTACAAAATTGCATCGTAATTATAGATTTTAAAACAGAGGCACAAGACTTCTAAGTTTTGACAAACATGGAATTTGGCATAGTCTTGATCTATCCGCGGTACACAGTATCTTTTTGTTGACCCGTTGTAATCGCGATCTATTCACATTATATAATTTTGGAGACTCGTGCAATAATGTTTTGTACAGAATTGCGATGTACATGCGACATAATTGATGTTTTAAGTTTTATTTACTTGGGTAGAAATTTGCGAGAGAAATTTGATTTACTTGCAGTATAATAATCTATAAATTTGCTAGGTTTATGATATAATAATATTGATTAGAGTATGTAAGTGATATATATGCAGTATAATTTTGGTGGACATATGCAATATAAATTTGATAGATGTGCTACATGATGAATATCATCATGGCCGTGGAAGTCAAACACCTTGCCAAGGTGTTTGGGTTCCACGACCATGACCGAGCAAGACTTCCAAGCACGCAAAAGTAATTTGATTTTCGATAAAATTATTGTGGTGACTATTGATTAGGTTGTAATTGATGGCTCGAATGAAATTGAATTGAAATTTCGAAAATTATAAACTATCAAAATTTGCAAACTTGGGTAATAAATACTAATTCAGAAATAATTTTTCAAAGAAGATAAGTATATAACAGGAATAATTATTCTCTGGGAGAAAATCTCACAACTTATTGACTCGTACAAGAAACGAAAAAGGAAAAATGAAATGCATCATTAAATGTGATAAAACTGACGCTTTGAAATAGGAAAAGCACCAAACTCATAATAAAGTTGAAAACATTTTGATCCTAACAAAAACAACTCAATTCCGAAAATTAGAAGAAAACCCGAGTTGGAACCTCTAAACTGGGGTTTTATTTGCATCAATCTGGAGCTGCACTTCAGATGGCTTTGTTTTGTTCTTTGGAGTAGTGTTGCGATACATGCATTGAAGGATCAATTGAATCGTCGACAATAGGGCACCAATTCCATTACCAGTCTGCAACACAATTTGATCATTATTATGATTATTATTATTATGGGTTACTAATTACGATATGGGGTAAGATTAACCGGAATAAAAGCAGAAGGTATGATATTTACCAGAACGAAGAAATCGAGTGGAAGAAAAGCATATGCAGACCAAACTATGCCGTTGGAGAAACCGGCTAAAGAGATCCAAAACGGCATGAATTCCGCACTCTTGGTCTTGATGATCTTACGCATTACGGAGAGAGGGGAACCATAAAGAATGATACCGAACACAACACAAACGGAACCAACAAATTTAGTCCTTGATTCAGGGTTATGGAATGCTATTTTAGTAACAGCACTTATTGCTCCCGCAAAAATCAACTCCAAAATTAAAAAAACGACAACCTTCAACTGCAAAACACACAAATATACATAAATATTTATTAGGTCCATTTGATTATTCAGTAAAAAAATATTAAAAAAAACCCCCAAACAAATGAAATATATCAAAATTAAAACCGTACCCTATCCTTTGACTTTGCTGGGATTTTCGGATCTGTGTAGTAAAAGAACATGGCTAGATAGCACAAATAAAGAAAAAGGCCAAACGAGTTTATTGTTGTGATAAGCGTGCTATGTGGATGGACGAATGGCATGGAATATAACACCCAAAATATACAGTTTAATACCCCAGCCAAGTAGGGGTAAGGGTGATATTCAAGAGTGGATTTGTTCTTCCAAATCCTACGAAATGTAGGGACTGGAGAAAGGAACAATGCCCCGGAGGTGATATTCCCTGCATTTGACGAACAAACGAGGTTAAAAAATGCCTTATTCCAGGCATTCAAAAAATCCAGGATTTTTCACCTACGGAAGTAGGATGAAAAAAATTTCATAACTTTTTAAAAAAGTCATTTATATTACGAAATCATTATTTATCAAACACATAACGTAAACCTTTGCAACCTTTTGAAACACAGAGATAGAAACCCTAACCACACAAGTGTTTTTTGGCATTACTTGCACTCAATGTCCTTCTGAACCGTTTGAAACACAGAGAAATCCTAACCATAAACATGTGTTTAGGTGCAATACTTGCACTCAGTGTAAATTAAAATATTAAAATAAAAAAATCTTAATCCTACGATTTTTTTTCTCTTTAAGATCGAAAGTACAATCACACAAGATTTCTCTAATTAACAAACACTTCAAAGTTTTTAGAGAAAGAACAGAAGACCAACCAATAACACCGAGGACCGTCCGAGCAATTTTCATCTTGGGATTCATTGTGGTATCTTGCCTTTGAACTCAACTTCAAAAAAAACCTTCGAAAAAAAAAATCAAGAATGATGAAAAGGTCTGGTGAGAAACTTGGATGATTGTAATAAACGCTGAGTAGCTAGCTAGTCTTTATAGAGAAAATAGAATGTGGTAAGGTTTATCTGTTAATTTTAATCTGCGACCATATCAACAACAACTCAACCCCGATTTTGTGGAGATAAGAATAAGATTTTCTCATCTTATCGGGGTAAAAAATCTTGTGGACTCAAGGATAATATAATGTACTATATTAGAATGTAATTGTAGTTGTAGTGTAACGAGTATTTGGGGAATATGAATTTTAGTTTGGTAGTCCTCACGCATAATTGTTTAGTCTATTGTTCATTTATTCATGAGATCAATACAATTAATTACTATAATTTTATTTAACTCTTTATTTATCCAACACTAAACATTGTTAATCATCATAAAGGTTTTAACCTTTGGTATTCATGAAAAGAAAGACCAAAAGTTTGAAACGGGAGAAAAAAATATACCAAGTCACAACGAATTTGTAGATTATGTAAAATTATAAAACTTCAATTCATTGAACTTTCACACTTGCAGCCGAATTGTCTTCTACTCACAATAGTATTAATAAATTGCAGTAGGATAACCTCAACTTTTTGTGGAATTTGGATGATGGGTTGTGTTTGACCTATTGTTGTGGTGCTTTTTTGCTCCCTTCTTCCACCGTAAAATTGCAACGAACCACCATCACTAAAGCTCAACATACAAGTAAGCACCGTACCTTGAAGAAGTTTACTTCACGCCTTTAATTACATGATTCACAAAAACATAAATAAATAAATAAAATCATATAGTGAAACTTTATACTCAAAATATATAATCACGGTAACTTCATTCACGCACATGCGAAGCACGTTCAAGCCCCCTAATTTCTGTAAAAAAATAATGGTCTACATAAACTGAATTCAGATAATAAACTTTCGATTCTTTTTATTCATTTTTAAGTAAGAACTGGTAATTATTGCTTACCAAAAAAATTGACTTTCCTAAGTTGTCCTCTGTCCTCTTCATGCATGTTTCCTCTTTCCTGCCTCCATCATCGACTTCATCATTCATCAATAGCTTCTAGCTTCGTGTTTACAAAATGAAAATAAAAACTATGTCATGCTTTTCAGTTATAACCATCGCTTTCAAAATCAAGAACCGAAACTTTTAACTTATTTTCATAAACTGTATATTTGAGAAATATCACATTTCAACACACTTAAGGAAGATTACGAACCCATTTCATTACACTCTTTTATCAAGATACAATTGTTTTTTTATTAGCGTGCATTAACCAAAATCAATGACAAATCAAACGTCTATACCAAATCAAATCAAATAAGAAAGGAAATCAGGATCTCCCATTAAAGGAAAGAGGAAAAAGAACTGCTTCTCATTGGCCTCAAATTATTGGTTTTGTTAGATGAATTTATTTCTACTGAAAGAACGTCTTTCAATATATGGCTAAGTACGTTGAAAACTTTCAATCTGAAAGTGGAAATTTTGGAGACCTGAGAGGAAAATAGGATTGGTTTCAATGCTTACTGCTTAGTATCATTCATTGTTTTTTGTTTTTTTTTTTTTTTTGTTAATGATGAAAAAACAACGAAAGGAAACCTTTTGAGATTTGGTTTCTTAAGACAAAATTTTCACAAAAGAAGTCATTTCAGAAAGAAAAAAAAAACACTTGAATATCATTCATTACTTGAATTTCCAGTACTTTCTACTACTCACACTCTTATCTTACTTTTAGATTTTATTCCTACTTTTAGAATTCATTATTTTACTTTCTGGAATTATTTTAATAAAATTCAAATAACACCATATCAATGGTACATTTATGTTATCTTATGAAGAAGAATTTCAAGTGTATTCATCACTTTTGTATACTATATTATATACGGTAATAGGTAGAGTTTGCGGGACATTTTTTTGGATTAATTTCAGATGATGGTTAAGTAATTATAGTATAAGAAGCCAATTATTGATTTCTACCTTTTAACTTTTTAGCATTCCGTCCACAGTATATCCATCAATTTTGTATACTATATCATATACGGTAATAGGTAGAGTTTGTGGGACATTTTTTGGATTAATTTCAAATGATGGACAATTAATTATAGTATAAGAAGCCAATTATTGATTTTTACCTTTTTTAATTTTTCAGCATTCCATCCACAGTTGTCTTCCACAACTGTAACTCACCATTTGGAATGTCCAACAAGTCATGAATCTAGACGGGTTTGTCGAGACCCTCAAAAATTAATTTGATTTCCTAACAGACCAAAATTAATTTGCAGAAACAGTATAATTAGGTCGAATCTCAAGAGAGCCGACTTTTAACACTTGGCTTTACAAAAATGAAAACAGGGGGGATTTTTCTTCTTTAAAATAAAATGACAAAGTAAACAAAAATGGAGAGAAAATTAATAATAGAAAAACTTTGGTTCAAGAAATGATTCAAATATATTATAGATCATCGACTAAAAATACATTTTTCTACAACTCAAGCATTCAACCGTAGTGTTAATAGGATAGCCGTAGAAAACCTTATATTTTCTAAAAATATTTGACCAAGCACCTAATCAAAACTTAGTATAATTTAACTGGGCACGATATCGTTCCATGTTAAATTATACTAACAATAAAAATTTTGAAAATTTAGTTAAACCAAAAACTAAAATAATTGAGATAGCTGCAATTAAAATATTTTTGTCCTATTGATCTCCTAGTTAGACTTATTATGCACATTCAACGTATCATTGCTAACATGCATAATCTGCTAATGTGCTACTTAGTGCCAAATGTTTAAGACGATAGCGCAGCATAAACAATTTGGTAGTAGTAGGAAGAAAATATTTGATTAAATTGTCAGATTAATCAAGTATCTACTCTCATAAAAAGAAATTAAAATCAACAAGTACTTGACTTAAAAGTAGAAAAACTAAAGTGAAACTTGTAGTCTCACATATAATATAAAAGAATAAAAATTCTTGAACCAAATGAAGAAAACTAACCACTCATTGTGACTAGAAACATCTTTGAAAGTTTAAAATAAAATAAAACAAAATAAAAAGCTAAAATAAAAATGGTGGCAAAAATGGAGAAAAGTGGTAGCAGCCTAATGCTTGCTACCACTGTGTGGTCTTTGAAGCCTACCACTACTACTCTATTTATAGTGGTGTTTTCCTAACAGAAAAATTCAAAAAAAAAATAAAATAAAAAAGGTACAACAACCTATCTCAAATCACTTCCAATATATCCAAATGGATTTAGTTGTTGCTGCAAATCTTTTACCAAATCAAGTCGGTTAAACGGGTGGAGACAAGAAATGGATTTCTTTGACTTGGTAAAGAAAATCTTCAAGTAAGAGCTTTGACTAATCTCCTTGTTGTAAAATCTTTTCATCCTTTAACTCCATAAAGCAGCCAGTAAATCTCAAAACAGTCCATCTTTCATTGTTTCAGTACATTGGCACAAAATAATAATAAAGTCCATTAATAATCTTCAAAATATAACCAAATTAGGCATAAAAAATTATACTCCCTCCGTCCCATAATTATTGTCCAGTTTTACTAAAATGAATGACTTTATTTTTAGTCAAACTTAACTATATTTTACCTTGAACAACCGGATATACCCCTACATAAGTAATTGTTTAACCATAAAGATTTTATGGATAATGTATTTTACTAAGGACAAATGTGTAAGTTGATCCATAAAAAGTCAAATTGGACAATAATTTTGGGACAAAATTTTTTGGACAAAGTGGACAATAATTATGGGACGGTGGGAGTAATAAAATGAATTTTATTATAACTATCAAATTCCCCCACACCAAAACCATGCTTGCCCTCAAGCATACTGAAATCTTTGAAAACTCAAAACGAATCAGTATTTTGGAAAATTTTTTGCACTAGGCAACTGTTTGTAAAATAAGTAAGCAAAGTATCACTCAACATTTAGAAAACATGTGCACCTATCAACTTCAGATAGCATTGTCAGAATGTACCAAACTATAATGCCTTACAAGGATTCACTCAATACACTCAAAAGAAAAGGATATTTTTAAGTAAACCCTCAATCATAAATATAGCATGCATTCCATAGGTTTGTCATGTATCAAATCCTCTTAGCACTAAATGAACAATCATCCAACATCAAAAGGGTCTTTTCATAGGGTTGTAATGGGGCTAGGGAATTTCAAAGGGTAGGATAAATATGGATAAGTAGGCTAAATTACCAACAATATGTAGACCACATACTCAATTCTCACCATCATTCCAGATGACCCATACGATGGCAACAATGATATACTATTACAAACCAAATCTCAATCTACTAAATGAACTATTACATAAAACATAAGTCAATAAGACTTTTGATGACCAAGTTATGGTGTTCTAAAATGATATTCAAATATTGTAAACACCAAACCCCCTTTATTATTTTTTTTCTTTCTTTTTCTTCTCTTTTTTTTATTATAAAACAAAAACGAAATTGAAGCATAAATCATATAACTGAATGGACAGAAAACAGAACATAAGTGCCTTTTTTTTCTTTTCTCTTTTTATTTCCAGCATGTTGCATTTTTTTTTTCATCTTGTTTTTTCATTTCATTTTCTTTTTCATAACATTTTTTTTGGCACTGTCCTGACTTATTGGATATACAGAGCTAAAACATTATTGGACTTAAAACAAGAACTCATATCCTATCATACTAAACCTACCATACCACTATTGCCACCGCACAACCACTTTTCACAAACTAAAATCAAGTAGTGATCATACATACTCCGAATAATAGGTGAAAAGATAGCTAAAAATTAGGCTCCGGATTACATTGGTGGAGCTCGAAAATAGGTCCAGGCTTGAAATGGTTACTAGAGGTAAACAATTAAGGTATGATTTTGCGATAGCTAAACTTGGCGAAACCTAAATGCCCTTATCATTTATTTCACAAATTGATTAATGCAGTTATGAAATGTATGACATGAGCAAAACAGTGTAGTAACATACAATGAATGATAAGACTCGAAAATTTGAG